GGGGGGGGGGGGGCGGAGATGCGGCGGGTCTCCCGGGCCCCCTTCGCTCCCGGGGAGTCGCCTGGCGAGATGCGCCTGGAAACGGGCCCGGTGAAGACAAAGTCGGCCGTGCGGGGCTCCCCCTTTAGGGCCAGGCCGGTGGTTCAGCCGGACTGGCGCTCTGACCCAAGCCGCACCTCGAAGTGTCCCGAAAGAATAATTGCAGCCATTGCTTCGAGGCAGTTTTGGCAGGGCAGAAACGAGTCTTACGTGGCTGGTTCTCTCAAGGCCAGAGACGGGACAATCGAGGTCCAGCGAGTCCCAGCCTTTCTTTGCCGGCCCGATGAGCAGAATCTCGCCAAAGAAAAACCTGTCAGTTTGAACCTTCCCCCATCCCGTCTCCGGCTTGCAACGTCTCTTCTGCCGGGTCTCCCATTTGGGACCCTCATCCCCTGTTCCAGCCCGTCTGCCATCCACTAAATAGATTTTGATTATTGTTTTGATGGAGAAAATACAATCCAAATCTATACATAATACAAAATTGGGTGGGATAACTAACACCCACCTTCGACTCAGTCTTTTTACCTTTGGAACCGGAGGCACCTGTGTGAAGAGGTAAAAATGCAATTTTAGGGTGAATGGATGCAGTTTCTACAATCTGCAGCTTCTCAAGACTTGGGGGTGGGAACTCCAGTTTCTTCTCTTTTGTGCAATGCGCTTAGCTCTGGGTAATACATTTTTGGATTCAGAGAACTTGGAAGGATAAAGGCTAAGTGTCATGCCCCTGTTGGAGACTGACTCTGAGGGAGAGGAGGAACAGCAGACAAGGAGTGAAGCCTGGCTCTGGAGGTTGTGGAGGAAGCTGGGGAAGGGCAGAGGCCAGCTGGGCAGTCAGAGGAAGACCCAGGCCCATCCCCTCTCCATCCTAGGGCACGCAGGGAGGAGAGGATAAGGGAGAGATGTGAATGGCATGGTCTATGGGGGAGAGGGCCTTGATCATCTTCATGGGCTGCAGCTGGGAGAACTGGTTAAAAGGATGGACATGAGTATGGGCCCGTGCTGGAAACAAAGCATGGAAATACCTCTAGTCTGTCGTTCCTCTGAGTTTGGCATCCTTCCCAGTGTGTGTTCCGATATCTCTGGACATCTTCAAGCCCTTATCTTGCCTGGTTCCCTTAATTGCTTCAGTGTGGTTTGTGTTGTTTTTACTCTTCATAATTTATAGGCATTTTTAGTTTAAACGGCATTTCCTCCTTTTCGTAACTACTTGTGGGGGAGGTTTTTTTGTCTCGTCAAGGATATTTGGAGCTTTGAAGCAAAGTGAAGGAATAAAAGGGTCTTCACCTGTTTTTGTGACTGTGTTTATTTTGTATCCCACCCTGAGTCATCACAGATAAGGGCCTGGAAACCCAGGCAGACTAGAGAGTAGAAATGAGAGGGGCTTGGTGCTCCAAGCTTGGTGGTTTCCTTGCAGACATTTCCTGATCAAAGTAGGTAATCGCATCAGTACTGGAAGGAAGGTGGGGGGGTTTGCTCTCATGTTATATACTAGTGGCTTGCCCTGTCAGTGCTGGCGGGAGCATCTTCGCCTGTGGAAAGGTTTAGCCTGAAGAGAGTCAGCAGGAAGAGAGAAGAGACACCCCCACCCCCCACATCACCCTCTTCCAGGCACTTCAGAGTTTCAGGATGTCCTTTTTATTCCAGGCAGATGACTGGACACTGGAACTTGCTTTCAGGGGTGCTGTGGGGGGGATTGATGCGGTCAAGCAGAGTCTGAGGCTTGTATCTGAATTCCTGCCACAGCCCCACCTGGCCTGGGATTTGGGGCAATTTCTCTATGGTGGACCCTAACCCTTGCGCCAAATATTGCTGAAGCGTCCATACTACTCAGTGCCGAGGCTTCTAGATGGGCCAGAGACTGTCGGCAGTGACCTGGCAGCACCAGTGGGAAACTGGTAGGTGGAACACTTGTGCTCAGAGAGAGGGTGGGGTTCTGTCGCAAGCCTCCCAGTCACACCCACCCACCCACCCTGTCCGTTCCCTCCCTCATCCTGATTGCAAAGCCAGCCACCAGCAAGGCCCACGCCGTGGCAGGCTAGCCCAGGAGGCCACGCAGCAGCAGAGGGAAGTTGGGGGTCCCCCAGCCTGTGACAGGGTCCCAGCCAGGGGCAGCACAGAAGCCCTGGCCTTGCACAGCAGCATCCAGACAGGACAGGTGGCATCCATGGATCACCTAGGGGGAGGCAGAGGAAGGGGGGCTTTGATCCCATGCCCAATATCCAGGATCCCGCTCAGCCAAGCCCGCCCCTCTTTGTAGTTGCCGTGCCTGACATCAAGTTCACAGGCTGCCCCTCCCACCAGGGATCGGCCTCCCAAGCTGCCCTCCCCCTTTCCCGGCACTCACGTCATAGAGGGCAGTGCTGTTCCCTCCTTCCTGGAGCCGGTACAGGGCAGGGTTGAGGAACCCCAAGGCAGGCAGCCCTCTCTCGAGGCGCCGGTCATTGATCAGGGCAATGATGCCCCCCACCACAGGAGTGGAGGCCTGCAATGGGGGAGGAAGCAGGAAGGTCACCGGGGGGCGGCGGGCTCCTCAGCCCAGCCAAAAGGCAACCGAGGCTCCGGGAGAAGGCCAGCAGGGAGCGAGGGCTGCATACGCACAGAGGTGCCTGAGACCCAGGGCATGGGGAGGTGGTTGGTCACCACCCAGTAGTTGTCCGAGAGGGCTGCCAAATCCGGATAAGCTCTGCCTGTGCTGTTGTAGTAGCTGGCGGGGGGCAGCTGACGCGACGTGCTCAGGAAACGCTTCACAGCCGTCACCTTTGGGCAGGAAAGGGGGCGGTCTGTCCACTGCTGCTCCAGCACGCTGCCCGCCTCCTGCCCCGCAGGCACAACCACACCAGCCCCATCCTCTCTGTGGGCCACTTCCCCCCGCAGCCATTATGCTTTGCCACCAAAGGGCCCTCAGGGTGGGGAGTGGCACAGCCCCTTGGCTCACCTGGTAGTCGGGCATGGGGAAGACGTTGCTGAACCCGCCTCCGCTGATGTAGTCTGCCACCTCAGCGCCCACCAGGAAGGGTTGCTGGAAGGCCGTGCCTCCAACAGTTGTCACGTAAGGGCTGCAAGGCAGGAGAACCATTGGGTGGCCTCCAGCTACCCACCTCACCTGAGGCAGGCAGGGGACAGGCGCCCACCCAGAGGCGGGTGCCTGCACGATAGGTGCTTGAGGGTCCTGGGAGCCAGGCAGATCAAATTCTGCTGGTCTTGGCTGCAACCCGCAACCCCTTCGCATTCTGCTCATCCCGTCACTTCAGAGGAAACGGGCTGGGTGCCCAAAGAACCCCAGGGCCCTTCTCCTCACCTGGAGGCTGGGAAGCTGGGGCGGAAGACATGCTTGCCCCCCGAGACCGCCCGGCAGCCGGCCCCCGAGTCACCTAAGGGAGGGGGTCAAAGTAAGACTGGTCACTTTCCTCCTCCATTTCCGGCCACTTAATGTTTTATTTGATTGTTAAATTTATTTGCCTCCTTACTCTGGAAGTACTCTAGGTGGCTTACAACAATACAAAGGAAAACAACAAGAGCGTAAACTGAAATAACAGGACAGTAAAATAAAGAATGAAAAAGAACACAATGTGTGTGTATATAGCATGTGTATGTGTGTATGTATAGGTACGGGCAGATATACACTTTCTTTTGAGAGCAAGCAACAGAATTTCATTTTTAATGTGTCCCAGTGTGCTCACAGTAAAAAAAATGGCAATAAAAGTTATCTTATCCCTCTAGATATGATTACCAAAACAATGGGCAGGTGGAAAGCAGGGTGCAAAGGGGGTGGGGGAGTGGAGTCTGCCATCAGTCCAACAGCCCCCGCCAGGGTGGAAGCCCCCTCCCCCTCCCCGGTCTGGACCACAGGCCAAGTGGCAGGGCCAGTTGGGGTAGACCTCACCCAGGAGGGCAGGCCGTGCCAAAGGGCAGAAGGCTCTTCTTCTGGACCCCCATAGTTAGTTCTTTGACCAATGGGATCTGAAGTAGCCCTTCTCTGCCGGCATGAGTAGGAGGGCTTGCCTAGCAGGACGAGGCGGTTCATTGGGTACCAATGTGCCACTGAGGGGTTCAAAGGTCATAAGCAACACCTTGCTGGGCACTCAAGAAGCAGACTGGGAGCCAGTGCAGTTCGGGGGGCAGAGAGTGGGTCACACGGGCCCCCAAAGATTGTTCTCACTGCTGCACTTTGTGCCAGCTGAAGCTTGCAAATGGATTTCACGGGTAGCCCCATGAATAGCGCATTGCAGAAATCCAGAGCTCGAGAAGTCCTGATCCAGAAAAGGCCCAAACCAGAGCCGTGCAAAAGCTCTCCTGGTCATGACCATCGCTTGCTCTTCAAGCAAGAGACGCAGATCCAGGAGAACCCCGAGTTGCCAACCGGGTCTGGACGGGTTAGGGCAACCCTGTCCATGGTTAAGGATGACGAACAGATCCTGAGACCCCAAACCACTCCGTTTGGCCAGGGTTGTGTTGAAGTCTGTTGCCTTCCAGGCAGGTTCACACGGACTCCAGGCATTGTGAGAGGGCAGAATCCACATCCCACGGGTCCCCAATGTTCAGAGGTGTGGAGCGGG